ACGAAAACTAAATTATATATATATAATAATATATATATATATATATATATATATATATATATATATATATATAAAAGTAACCATGAAACAGTTGTTTACCTCAACAGCAAGAACGGTGCCAAATGGCTGGAATATTTCTGAAAGCTGAGCAATGTCGCAGCTCCTCGGAAGATTGCAAGCATAGAGCTTACATGGTCTCACTTCATACTTTGGTGAATGATTCTCCCCATTTTCGTCTATAACTTCCTCCACAATTGGGCTCGCCTCCTCTTCCGCAACCGCTGCTACTCTGAAAACCCTATTTCCTCTACATTCCTCATGTGAAAGGTGAGAAAACAAATGGGGTGAATAAGATATAGAGAGGGGATAAGGAAGGGAGCAGAGAAATGAAGAAGGGAAAGTAAAATGAGGGGAGCGGAAGGTATTGATGGTGACAGAGGGAGTGATGAGTTTCGCAAAGGATTTTGTGGATGGAAAGGGGAAGCAGGAAGGTGACATCGCCATGGCAGGCAGCAGAGAACTGGACACACGAATGAAGCTCAAAAAATGGCGATAGGGATAACGGGAGGGGGGCATCGAGGTGTTTTCACGAGCTGGGACATAATAGCATGCTCCCGCAGGAGCACATTGTACGTCTGCTACTCGGCCCGGTCCACCGTTCTTGTAGTTGAAAGGTGCATTGACCCCTTCCACTTTCTTTTTTTTTTCTTTTTTTTTCAATGTTTTTTTTTGGACAAATTTTAAAACTTTCTAGAAAAAGTTCACATAAAGTTGCAACTTTAAAATGTAGAAGTACATATGCACTTCAAAAATCCATCGGAAAAGTTTGTTTTAATGTAAAAAACTCTTTAATTGATCATCTCGACGTCGTAATGGATGAATATGACAAAAACAAACAAGCTTTTGAGTCCCAGAAATAGCACATCTTGCAACATATTATCTAGACCGTTCATTCTCAAAATTTTCATATGTTTATAGATCTACTTGATTTATATTTTTTTGAAGTTTAAAATTTTAGAATTAGAAATGAAAATAGATTTTGTGATAATCCTAAGAATTTTTCAAAGCAAAATTATATGTTATGATAAAATTTGGAGGTGCACCGTAATTGGATTGTTTAAGGTTGTAACCTTATAGAAATTACACCCTTATATTAATAATCATCAAAGATACAACCAATCACAAAGAAGATCATAAGCAATTAGCAACCAAACGAGAAGGTAAACTCCGTGCCCCTCTTGCTCAAGATATCAGCATCTGAATTTGCTTCTCTATATACATGCCCAAAAGAGATATTAAGGGAAAGACAATAATCCATCAGTTGTACCCACATACACCTTTGACTCCAAGGTACACTCTGCTCCTTCCTGCACCACTGTCTATAGTTAATAGCCCAAAATCCCCTTCTCTCAACAAAGTAGCATGCCTTGCAGAAGACATCTCAGCTCCACTTGATTTGCCGTTATCACAATGCAAACACTTGCATAACTGAAAACTATTATACCCTCCGAGTTCCTAAGGAAACCTTCTATGCTCACCGACCTGGGTTCTCTTGAGAGCTGCCATCAAAGTTCAATTTGAAGCAACCCTGAGAAGGTAGTATCCACTTCCACCCAACTTGCTTTTGTGAAAATGTTGGCTAATGATATTTAGGAAATTTGAAGATAAATCCGTTAGATGCCCCCATACTTCCTTAGTGATAACAAACCAAGTCCAAAGAGAATATAGAAGTTTCCCCTTCTCTTCATCCATCACCGGCCCCTCAAACTTTGCATGTTACTTTCCTTTTACAATTCCCACATAATCGCCATGATGAAGATCTTCCGAATCAATACACTTGTCTTACGCAAACTTGGTGATTGAAAATACTGAATGATATTCTTATGACTTCTTGGCATCACCATTGAGCTACCCATCTTTTGAAATTCCTTAACCCAAATATGATAAGCGAAAGGACAATGCAAAAATAAAAGATCACCAGTTCCCTCATATTCTTTGCACATCAGAAAAATGATCATCATAATCTTCATTTGCTTTTTCGAATTATCAATTATGACATTTTGTTTTCCTTGCATAGCAATCCAAAGAAAATTCTGAATTTTATGTGGGAATGACCATTTCCAAACCTCTTTTAGTCCCAATTGACTCCATTTACTCCCATCGTTGAATAACAAACTATATGCAGACCGTACTATAAATTCACCATCACTCTCCAATTCCCATTATAAAAGTACTCCTACATTGGGTTCTACCCAATGGAGTAAATAGAAAGTATACTGCCCTAGAAGTATGACATCTTTTGGCTTAATAACGTACTCATCTAAATGTTGGGCATCCCATACTATGAAGGAGGGACACCAATAAAAATAATCTTTCTAAAAAGGCAGTTTTGGAAATATGAAAATAGGACTTGTTGACCAAGTCATAATCCCATGAAATATGGGAAGTCTCACGTGATTGATATGGGTAGATATATCATTTATCGCTTACTTAAAAAGAAGATAGAGATGACTCACTTTTTAGGAGGTTATGAGATATCCTTTCCATATTATTGACCCATTTTAAAAGCAATCAGGTGGTTTTTTAAATGCATTTGGATTTTAACCAAAGCTACATCTCTTGAGCCATTTTTAGACGTGCATCACTCTTGGGCTATTTTTGGGGCGAACTCTTCTTGGTGTATTGAAAAATACAAGAAGCCTTCTTTTGCAGAGAAGAAGAAGAGAAAAAGTCATCATTCTCTTTGAGAGATAAAGAAGAGAGAGAATTATCTTCTTTGATAGAGAAGAAGAAAAAGAGAGCTATCATTCTTCTTAGAGAAAAGAAGAAAACGAAATAGAGTCAGTAATCATCTTCTTAAGCCCTTTTTTTTGTTGAGAGAAAATAGAGATAAGATAATAAAATAGAGAGAAAGAGAGAACCTTTGTCTTTTAGAGAGATAAGGCCTCTAGAAAGAAAAGAAGTCTCTGAGAGAGAAAATAACCTCAGAAAATAAAACCTAGAGAGAGAAGTCTTTTGAAGAAATCAATGAGTCAAAGGAAATTTGTTTCTTTGAAGACTAGTGTAACTATTGAGTTAATAGTGGATTTATCTCTTTCTCCTATGGACGTAGCTTGAAAAGATGAAACAAGTAAAATCTCTGTGCCAATAAGTTTTATTTATTTTTTATTTTATTTGCATGATTGTTCACTCATACACACACACATTAACTTTGGCCTAATTTTTGTGTCTCATATATTCGCGTTCCGCAGCACGCCTCCACATTCGTGCGAGAGGTCTCTAATTGGGTGAGCCCAACAAGTGGTATCAGAGCAAGGCTCCCTAACCGTAACTTGACTCCTTAACATATGCTCACAACGAGGCAAAGTTTAGTGGCTCGATGTTAATACTGCTCTTTGACCATGTCATTGCTCTTGGTCTCTGCCTTGACTTTAGCTTTTGATTAATTGGGTACTCATGATTGTTTTTGGGACATGTCATCGGTCAAAGATTGTCGGTGAGTACCCATTGTGCAAAGAAGGTGCTACCGATGGATCATAAGTCTTCACCTTAACTTGTAGTGAATTGCCATTATGCAAAGAAGGTATTGACCAATGGACCATCAGTCACCACCTTAACCAATAGTTAATCACTTTAACCACCGGTTGACTGATGGTGAGACCCTGACCGACGAGGGATAACTTAACCTATAGGAGATAACTACCTACAGGTGATAGCTAACCTATGGGCAATAGCTAACCTACAGTCAATAGCTAACCTACGGGTGATAGCTAACCTATGGGCGATAGCTAACCTACAAGTGATAGCTAACTGACAGGTGATAGCTAAACCGACGGGCGATAGCTAACCTACAGGCTATAGCTTCATGCGATAGCTTAACCGACGGGGGATACCCTGACAGACAGGGGATGGCCATAACACACAGTGAAAAACAATCTGTGTGGATTTAGATGGATTCCAATACCAGGAGCAAGATGATATCGCTCAATGTAAATAACTAGATCATCTGAAAGCCAAAGATGGAAGATCTACTATACTATAAGGACTTGTACACACCCATTGGAGGGGTAAAACACAAGCCTAAAGGTATGACAAATGATAAGTGGAAGATACTAGACAGAAAAGCTCTCGAAATTATCCAACAATAGTTGGAAGAAAATATGTTACACCATGTGTTGATGGAGACATCCTCAAAATCATTGTGGGATAAGCTACATGACTTGTACAAGAGGGAGATAGACGAAAAGAATGCATTCTTGATCCAGAAGTTAGTGAACATGAAGTTCAAGAAGGGAAATCCGTTGCAAAGCACCAGAATGAGGTGCAAAATATTGTTAACCAACTCACAACGATGAAGTTGTTCTTAGAAGATGGGTTATAGGTTTTTACTCGGTTCATTATTAGACAGTTGGGAGACCCTGGTAATCTCAATGAGTAATTCAACACCTGATGGGACAATGACCATGTATCAGGTCACTAGCAGTCTACTGAATGAGGAGATGAGAAGAAAATTCTCCGACACATTGAACTCGCAAGCCCTTGTCACAAATCTAGGAATGTCCATGAATAGGGGATCAGGAGCAGGGGGAGCAGCCTATTCAAGAAGTGTCACCTACAGTTGAATTGAAAAGGTCCTTTAAGGGGCATAAAATCCTCTACCAATTGCCCCACATCAGAGTATGTCTTATACACTAAAAGGGGTGGATCAGAAATCTACTTGGGAGTTCAGTCTGACAAACATAAAGGAGTGTATGTTAAAGCTATGCAAGATGACACAAATCCTTGCATAAGAATCATACCTATGACCTGGTAAAGTTATCGAAAGGCAAGAAGGCACGAGAGTTAAGTGCCAAGCAAATACCTTTAACCAAGAGGAAGAAGGAAAAAATACAGAAAGTTCCCTATGGATCGGTCGTAGGAAGCACATGTAGTGGAAGCGTGGTGATCTGATTCATCACTAATCTTGGCGAGGAGCACTGGGCAACAATCAATTGGATATTCAGATATCTCGAAAGAATATCCAAAGTGTGTTTGTTCTTTAGGAGAGGTAAACATGTGTTACAATAGTAAACGAATGAAGACATGGCTGGAAAATTGTACTTCAAGAAGTCAATCTCGAGATACTTCATTACTTTTGTAAGGGGAGTTGTTGCATGACAGTCCAGGCTTTAGAAGGGTGAGAAGCTGTTACAATAAGGAAAAATCCATACCAACAGGAGTATGTTGGATATGATGTGAAGAATTTGGCTAAAAACAAGCAAGAGTCATGGAGAAACATGGCTGACACCAGTGCCATTTGAGCACCTGATTGATCTGTGAAGGGAAACCTCCCTTCTGGGATTGGAGGGGGAGATTGTTGGGCGTCTCATCCCATGAGAGAGGGATCCAAATGAAATAGTCTTTCTAAAAGGGTAGTTTTGAAAGATGGAAATATGACTTGTTGACCAAGTCATGATCTCATGAAATATATGAAGTCTCATGTGATTGATATGGGCAGATATATTCTTTATCTCTTACTTAAAAAGGAGATACAGATGAGCCATC